TATAAAATTTGTGACGAGTATTCAGTGCAACCTTACCTCAAATATGATATCCTGGTACCCATAACAGAAGGTGGATCCGAATGGGTTGGTAGTGTTAGTGGAGGAGGCGCGGTTGAGCACCACAGGCCGCTCGCAGACGCGCAACGCACGCGACACCGTCTCCCACTTGCTGTATGCGGTAATGGTGACCGCGCCGCGGCTCTCCACTAGTGTATTCGACTCGCATCTATAAAAACAACATATAGAGTAAGTATAGTTGACACTTCACTTGATACATTTTTCACATAATCTCACTATTTATTCATAGATCCTCAAAACCACATGTTAATATAATTAATTGTACTTAAATTACCGATTGTTGTCATTAAATTATATTTAAACGAGCTGTGGCCCGCGACTCCGTCCGCGTGGCATTGAAAAAAGCAAAAGTGAATAGCCTATGTGTTCTTCCAGACTATCCTCCACATTTATGCCAAATTTGATCGAAATCCGTTCAGCCGTTTAGGCTACAAACTCTAACAAAGATCCATCCATCCATCCATCCATCCATCTAAACTTTCGCATTTATAATATTAGCATGATGTATACATTGTGTTTTGTAACACTGTTTAGTTTTTTTTATAACAAAAGATGGAGCTTATTATAATTGTTTAAATATACTTTATTATATGTCAATAAAAGGTCACGGGGTGGCACAAACCTTGAAAAGTGACATAGTTAGTTAATATAATTAACCTTTCATAGGAAGTACCGGTGAAAAATATTTGCTCACTACTTAACAATATATTTCTTAAATATCTAAGGTAAATTGGACAAAATTGCTCTGAGAGAAAGGGACAAAAACTATAAATCAACCAGTAAAAAGTCTAATTTGCCGTGGTTACTTAAATTCTCAGACAGTAACACCTTTATTGTCATTTAAGCATTTGTATTTTGACATGTGCAATATAAAGTTTTTAAAGGTATGTGACATCATCATCAACTTGCCCTCATCCCTTATGGAGGGTCGGCACAGTATGTGCTCTTCCATACATCTCTATCAGCCGTCATATCTGAATCCACTCCTTTCTTAAGCATATCTTCTTTCACACAATCCATCCATACTTTCTTCGGTCTTCCTCTTCCTTTGTAGACATCCACATTCAATCTTAACACTTTCTGCTTTATGTCCCCATCGTTTCGTCGCATAACATGTCCATACCACGCTAACCTTTTACTAGTCAATTTCTCCACCACTGGCGTTACTTTCAAACTGCCTTTAATATACAGGAATTATCTATATTTCTTTTTAAAGCTATGTGTATGATAACAGTTAGTTGATGTGATGAACACTGACTTGTCCGGTTGCACGGTGAGCTCGAACTCGCAGCGGTGGTACATGTTGAAGTTGTAATGTCCCGGGTAGTTGGTGTGCAGCACGAACTTCTTCACGCGGTGTGTGCGCGCGTCGAACAACACGTCCTACAACATTCATATTAACAAACATAAATTAACCTAGAAAGAGATGGATTGCGTGAAAGGTGACATGATTAAAGGAATGATGACTGAGATGACGTATGATAGAGTGCTTCGGAGGATGAAAACCCGGTGCGCCGACCCTACGGGAGTAGGATAAAGCAGGGATGATGATGAAATTAACCTGTTACAATAAACATACAACTTAATTAAATTGATTAAAAAAACTTTAGCTACTATTATAATATATTCCAATCTCAAAAAAAAAAAATTTTTTTGTACACCCCTGTCATTTTAGTCGTCAGAGACTTTGTCGTTCCGTTTATTCTTAAATTATTTACAATACTATTTAATATTACAATTTATATTTAGTTTTTCTTTTAATTGGTGCTATCGATTTTAGTTGCTGTGTATCTCAAAAATATTACCACTAGAAATTTAAGAACGATTTAGATTTCTAGAATAATTCATAATCTACACTAAGTTTTTTTAAAATCCTTCATGGGCAAGATCACTGCAGTGATTTCCCGTATGGTTGATCGGCCCATCGATAGGTCCAACAGAAAACACCCGGCTAGAGGATAGCTTTTAGTTAATTAAATATATAACTAGCTTTCGCCCGCTATCCCGTCCGCGTGGTATTAAAAAAACCAAAGGTTTTTTTTCAGATTATCCTCTACATCTATGACAAATTTCATTGAGATTCGTTCAGCAGTTTAGGCGTCAAACTCTAATAAAGACCCATTTAAACTTTCGCATTTATTACATTTGAGTGTTATTAATTTTAAGTGTTAAGAAGAAAATCAGTACTGCGCTGGAGGATTAACTCAACACTAGATAAAAGCATATGTCATCGGGACGTATTCCCGTCACTATTTGACATCTGTCAATGTCAATCAGACGTATCATATACCATTCTGGCGGGAGTCAGTACTCTTACTGTTTAAGTTAATTACACTAGTTACAATTAAATCATTTACGTAAAAGATTCAACTCACCAATCCTAAGGTGAAATAGTTAAAGAAG